TGGTTTTTTCGTTGTTGCCTTCACTTCTTCGGCTTGTTTGGCTAGCCATCTCTGGACTTGGGACTGTGACTGAGGAATTCAAGTTTGTCCTATGACTGCTACCACGGCGTTGAGAATGAAGTCTTCTACTTGTATTTATGACCTTGCCTGATGAAACTTGTCCTCCATGATGGGTAAACGGGTGTCAGTTTATTTTAAATTTGCATCAGAAGCGAGTATTTGTGGAGAGGAAATGGTACTCGTTTGTTAATGAGAACGGACTCGACAATTGAAACCACAGTTGTCCAACGAACTCTCATTAATAAGGGCTGAAACACAATGTTTTATTAATCCTCGCCCAATTTCATCAAAACATTCTCACACAACCATCGCCAAACTCTAGTTGTTATTATCTCATTGTTTAAGATGGCCATTTCATTTCCGTGCAAAAATCTGTTCTCCCGCTTTAATTTAAATTCGCTCTCAAAAAATTGGAAAAACGAATTTCACTCGCTCCTCCATCATGGCATCCCAACAACAGCAACAACCACAAGTGTCCTCTCCTCTCACCACAGGCACTCCTTTTACACCTCAACGTTCTCAACAAGGAGATGAGGATGAAGATGACTTCCTCACGACTGGAAATTCCGATGCCAAAGTTTGGAAATATCGTAGAGAAAAGTATCTGGAAGCTCAAGTGAATGCTTCAAACTTTATCATCAAGCCTTTCTTTATTGCTTTCTCAGCTGCTATTGGATTTTCAGTAGGATATGTCGTTTTTGATTTCTTTGCATCATTCTTTAAGAGAAGAAGACAATAGTTCCCTTTGGTTCTCCTCCTCTAATAATTTCACGTGATACGATCTACTATTATCCACTATTCAATTGTCTAATAGAATTATGTCGGCAAGGAGCCTTCATATGTTCATTCGGAAACAATCTTTTATTTAGCAAACTCTCCCAATAAAACCCAAGACATCAATCCAAAGCTTTGTAAATTCTGTCAATTGGATGATTGTTCCAATTTGAAAATTGGTCATTACCCAATCTTCTTGCAACTAGTTGCGTCATCATCAAATCGGTAAATTGACGCGAAAACACATCAAAAAAATGGCAAAGAAGAAACAAGCAAGTAAAAAGCCTTCCACGACAACGATCATAGTGAAGGAGGCAACAGCAGCACAAGAAGAATCAAATGAATCTTCATTGTCATCAATTCCATCCAATGATGAAAATAGCAACATGGAACATAAATCTACTCAAAATACGGAGCAGGAAGAAACTTATCATCAAACTTCAACATCGACATTAGCAACCACATCGGAAGTGGATTCAAAAGATGAAAAACATGAAAACCAACTACAACATCAAGATTCCGAAACTTCCCAAGATTGTACCAATAATCATCGAGTTAATTTATCGACTACTACTACTTCAGACAGCGATACGATATGTACGCGAGAAGAAGTGGCAGAAAAAATCAAAGCTCCAACTAATAGAGATCTCATCACAACTCCATCAACACCACACAACAGTGAAACCTCCACCTCTACTCTTCCTACAAATGTGAACAACGACATTGCGAAAAAGTACGAAGACTTTTTGAAAAATGTTTGTGAAATTGTGGAGCAACACTCTGAAAATATTGCCACATTTTCTGAACGCCTTGGTGGCAAGTTTTGTAAATTTGAAACAACTCTCGAAAAATCAAAACAACAAACTATTAAGTTATTTGAACACAACGAAATTAAGCAGAAGGAAAATTCTCAAAAAGGAACTTTGTTAGATCCATCTGTCCGACAAATGCTGATGGGGTTTATGACACAAGTTGACCAACTTTATGAGCAAAGAGATCGAGCGATTACTGAGAAAATGAGCAAAATGGGCTCTAACTTGCAAAAATTGAGTAATAATGTTAAAGTGTTTGAAGAGGCAAAGAAAAAAGAATCTTCATCAGAAGATAAATCAATCACAGCCGAAGAAGCTGCATCCAATACTCAATCTACAACTTCTAAAGTGGAGTCTAATGCTGAGGAGAATCTCACAGAAGAAGAGCTTAGAAAGCGGTGCAAAGAGTTCGAAGAGAAACTCAAAGAAAAGGAGAAAGAATTTTCTTCTTACAAAACAAAAGTTGCAGAATGGAAAGAAAAAGTTAAGGTGATTAGCAATAAGGACATGAAGAAGATCGAAGAATTAAAAAAGCAAGTGACAACACAGGAAAAGACAATAGAAGAATTGAATGCAAAAATTGAAGAGATAAACAAAAAGAACGAAACAATTCCAAATTTGGAGAATAGTTTAAACGTTAAAGATGATGAAATTGAAAAGCTCAAAAAAGAGATCGCATCGTTGAGTGAGAAAATTTCGCAAAAGGACCTCTCTATCGAACAACATCAAATAACGATCAATGAAAAGAATCAAATCAATGCAGACCTATGTGAAAAACTTACTAGTATTCAACAGCAACAGCAAGAGGCAGCCACTTCATCTTCAAAAAAGGTTCCCAAATTTCAAGATCTTAAAATTCTTAAAAAACTTGATCTTGATTCCAAGATGTGGTTCTATGTACAACATGATGTAGAAAATACTTTTGAGTGGATTGATCTTGAGGAATTAAAACAGATTCACTCAGATGCACAATTGAACTCACCTCTCGATTCTCTACTACCAGAAAAATCTATTCTACAAATTCATGAAGAGTCATTCCAACAAAGGCTTTCAGAAGAATCCAAAAAACTCGAAGAACAAATTAAATTATTCAACGAAAAGGATGAGGAGTTAAAAACCTACAAAACTCGTGCCCATGCTGCTTTGAAAAAGAAAACTGATGCTCTCAATCAAGCCAAAATTGATTACGAAAATCAAATTAATGAATTGAAGGAGTCTCTCACAAAACAGCAAGAAGACAATGAAGAGCAATCTAAATTGATTCAAGATCTTCAGGAACAAGTTCAGAGCTTCATCATTATTCAGGAGAAAGCTGTCAAGCTTGGATCGGATCTCGATAAAGTCATGTCTGAAAAAGAAGATTTGGAAGACAAAATTAAATCCTTAGAAAAACAACACTCAAAAACCAAGGAAGATTTTAATGAGGAAAAATCCAAGCTTATTCAAGAATATGAACTTCAACTCAGACAATTGGAGAGCAAGAACAGTGAATTAGACGAGCAATTCAGAAAAGAATTAAGAGTGACCCGAGAACGAAATAGAAGAATTTTGGATGAGAAGGAACGAGAAATTACCAAATTGCAAATGAAAATATCTGAGAATAAGCAAGTGACCGATGAAGCTGAACAAGTCAGAGAGAAACTTGTGTCACTTGAAAATGAAATGAATTTGATAAAAGAGGAGAATGAAAGTTTAAAGAAGCAATTAACTGCCATGATGAATGCAGAGAGCACACCCACAGTGAAAACACCTCGAAAGGTGGATCAATCTCAAATATTGTCATCTGCTTTGAACGATGGCCCAACAACTCCAACCTCAATTTCGCAAGATAACATTTCTGATCTCTCTCCTTCTGTTAGTACTTCTGATTTGACATTGGAAAGAGATTTTAATCAACTCATGGAATTGGCTCAGCTTCAAGCATCACGAGATACTGAAATGATGCACTACAAGGAAACAATTTCAAAGCTTAAACAAATCATCAAAGAAAGAGAGCACAGTGAAAAATCTTTCAAAATTTTGGAAAAGCAATTGAAAGAGGAAATTGAACATTTACAACGACTTCAAAAGCAAGGAGCTCCCAATCTTGAATATTTAAAGAATATTTTGATCTCATTCTTAACTGGCGAGGATAGGATTGTGAAAGAGAAATTACTCAAAGTACTTGCTCAAATGATGGATCTTTCGAAGGAAGAGCAAGATAAGATTTCACAAAAATGTTTAGCTGAGCCTTCTTCATCATTATGGAATATTGTAAGTACTTGCAAGTGTTGTGTGATTTTGTTTATTGGACAATCTTAATATGATCAATATCTGTGTACTGTCAAATTTAAACAGTTTGGATCAAAGAAATAAATTTCAGTTTTCGGATTCAAGCTTTGGAAGAATGAGCTTTTCTAATTTGATTAAATCTTGAGTGAATTTTCTGATACCGTCAGCAAGCTTGTCTGTAGCACATCCATCTTCGTTGAGCTCCCATCTGAAAATCTTCTCATTAACCTCTACCTTGGGAATGTCCAATTCTCGTGCTTTTTCAGGAGAAAGACGTCTTTCCAAATTGTCACATGGAGTGTTAGCTAATTGTTTCAACAGCGCTGGAGAAATGGTGAGCAAATCACAACCAGCCAATTCGATAATCTCTCCGGTATTTCTGAAGGATGCACCCATGACCACGGTCTTATATCCATACTTCTTAAAGTAATCATAAATTGAGGTAACAGAAAGCACACCAGGATCATCGCTGGCTTTGTCAAAGCTCTGTCCCTTTTCCTTATAGTAATCCAAAATTCTACCAACGAAAGGAGAGATGAGTGTAGCTTTGGACTCAGCACAACTATCGTTGTTGTCATCCAACAAATTTCACACACGATGTCTCATCATTCAAATAAATTAAATACTTACGCAATTGCTTGAATCTTTGAAAACAACAAGGTCATGTTGCAATGAATACCTTCTTCCTCCAAAATCTTTGCAGCTTGAATGCCTTCCCATGTAGATGCAATCTTAACAAGGATTCTCTCTCTCGAAATTCCTGCATCTTCATACATCTTAACAAGATGTCTTGCCTTGTTAATTGTACCTTCCGTATCAAAAGAAAGTCTGCAAGTCAATGTGGACAAATTGGTAATAGATGTTTTCGGAATAATTAAATGTCCAATTAAATATTTGAATGGAAACAAGATTACGATCATCATCATCCGAAATCATGATGAAAAATATTTACCTTGCATCCACTTCGGTGGAGACTCTTCCTTTTATAATCTTCAAAATTTCTAATCCAAAATTAATATTCAGTTTATCAAGAGCAGCCTCTAATTGCTTCTTCTTATCACTACCCCCGACTTTCTTTGCATATTCAATTCCGTCTTGGACCAAGTGTTCATATTCTTTCAATTGACAGGCTTGGAAAATCAAAGATGGATTAGTGGTTGCATCTGTGGGTTGATATTCGTGCAACAATTTAAAATCACCTGTATCGGCCACAACAGTGGTATACTTTTTGAGTTCCTGTAATTGATTGGAAGACATTTTTTGTGTGTGGTGCAATTCATTCGAATTCCGTACTTGAAAGCTTTACAAAGCAATACGAATGGAGATTACTTTTCGCACAGTCCAGTTGCGCCGCAAATGAAGCTTTAGTTAAACCGCAATTATTCTCCTCAAATTCAATCTCGTCAAAAATCACCATATCGAGCAGGCTGTTTGATGAAACGTTCCGAAATTTAATGCTCTAAATTTTCTTACAATGAAGAATTCCATAGCAGGAACGGTTCATTCAAGAGTGTTTAACACTATTTTGATCATCATGAAGTCATTATTTGTTGCTGCACTATTCACTCAATTAACATTTTAGAAGAATTTTGTAAAGTTTACCTTTGATTCACGAATTGGTTGTAAAAATAAATCATGGTCTTCAAAAAAAAATGCAAAAGAAATCTTCTTCTTCTTCCATTCATATTTCTCCCATCATTTTTCATGGCAAAGATGCTCATTCGTGTGGTTACTGTAAAACATTGGATGAGGAATCGGATCGGTACATGAGAACTCCTGATACTTCAGTTAGTATTGGATTTCATGTTTATCAAGTACCTTCCAATATTTATGAACAAATGATGTATCGGAATATGAGAAGATGTGGTGATTATTATTATCAACCGGTTAACAATGAAACATGTTGTCCACAGTATGCCATTCGATTAAACACATTGGAATTTAAGATGAACAAGAAACAATCAAAGGTTCTGAAAAGAATGAAGAAATATTTAGAAACTGGTGTGGTTCATCATCAAAATGATGATGATAATCAAGAACAAGTTTCCGGACACGACACCAAGAAGAGAAAAGTTGATGAAAATGATCACAAGCTGCTCGGACAGCTCTCTGAATCGTTGCAATCACTCTTGAAGGACAATATCGAAAAGTTTATCAAATTCTTTGATGGAGTTGTCAATCAAGAAGAGTTGAGACAACAATTAACAGAATTATTTCAAAAGCAAACATTCCAAAAAAGCCAGAGAAGTTCAAATACATTCTCGTGTGGAATTGCATTTGCTTTGTTTGGCTTATCGAAAAAGTTGAAATGCAATACCGTTTGTGACAAGAAGGATTTTGGGTCAGAAGTTGCTTCAATTCTTTTGCAAAGCAATTGGGAGCAAACTTTTGATGTTAATATTCAGGTGGAAAATAATGGATATATTAATGTGACATTGAAACATCCAAGCACAGAAAATGCATCTTCAAAAGGCAAAAGGGAGCAAAGCAAGCAAGCCCAATCATCACAGCCACAATCAGCCCAACCAAAAACATTGACAACAGTACTTCTAGACTCCAGTTACAGAGCAGAAGAGTACAAAGTCTATCAAAAATATCAAAAAACTATTCACAAAGAAGAAACTACAGAGAAGGGTTATGAGAGATTTTTATGTAAATCTAGTTTGTTAGATATGGACACCCAAAGCAGCTCTCCCGAAAAACCATTGAAGGGATATGGAACTTTTCACCTTCAATATAGAATTGATGATCAACTTGTTGCAGTGAGCGTATTGGATGTTTTACCAACTGGCCTTAGCTCAGTATATTTCTTCTATGATCCAGACTATTCACATTTGTCTCTTGGAGTTTACTCAGTTTTGAACGAAATTGAAATGTTGCAAAAGGAAAGTATCAAATTTCCACAATTCAAGTACATGTATCTTGGTTTCTACATTCATTCATGCAAAAAGATGAGATACAAGGGCGAATATTATCCCTCTGAGCTACTTTGTAATGAAACTTTTACATGGGTTCCACTTGACAAATCACTTTCCTCCAAATTAGATCAACACAAATATTTTAAATTTAATGAGCAAGCGGAAACAGTAAGAAATGTGGACTTTCCTGAAACGAATGGACTTTACTTGTTTGTGAGCGGTCAAATTCTTCCATTCACACTAGGCACGTCTATTCTTCCATTGACCAAGAGTGCCTTGCAGAAGATAAATCTTTTCAAACGGACTTTTGGAAAACAGTTGGCTTTAGAAAGTGGTTTTGCCTATTATGTGGGTGAAGAGGATTTAGAGGATGGTGACGAAGAAGATGACGAAGATGAAGAGTAATATTTACAATTATGTATTTATTACTATGTGATCTCCACTCTAAAGCACTACAATAAAAAAACTTAGAAGCCAAACTGTATTGTACAATTCAATTAGGAAGGTTGAAATTGTTAGTAATAATATTGATCCTTTCTTCTTCGCATCAAAGCATATGACCCTGTCTCGCTAAATTCTTCTGCTGTAATCCACATGTCGTTAAAAGAGGCAAGACTTGTCAAAATGCTTCCACCAATGAATGGCGAGTTGTATCTGTTTTCAGTGTCACACGATTTAATCTGAACACTTCTTTTGGCTAAACTTGACACATCGAACTGCAATCTCTCGTCAAAATTTGGAAATTGTGTACTACCTCCTGAAACAATGATATTGTCAAACAGTTCTGGTCTGGCATCGGCATCGCACGCCATAATGCTTGAATGGATGAGCTGTGGTATCCCTTCGCATTCTCTTCCAATTAATTGAGGCTTAAACAATATTTCAGGAGCTCTAAATCGCTCGCTATCAAGCTCAATTGAAGTTCCACAGGGAAGTGTATAAGAAGTAGAAAAATCATGTATGGATATTGTAGATGATGACCGAGGAGTGATTAAAACATTCATAACTTCCTCATAATTCCTTGCCACAAAGCAACATTTTTCCTTCATCATTCGAATTTCTTCATGTTCTCCGAAAGATTCGGTGTAAAAACCTTTTTCAGTCATTAATAGTTTCTTCAGGTGTGTTGTGATATCATCACCTCCTATGTGAACACGCTTCACAGCATTATAAAATGTATATCCTAAATTCGAATTGAATAACAATATGTCGAAATGTTCTATCGGCCTTACACTCACCTCCATATATGGGCGTCATTGTGGTCACATTATGACCAACATCGACAGCAATACCTGTATAATACCCACTGCTATACAATGTTAGTGAGCCAGATGTCTTTGAATAGAACTTTGGAACCCTAAAAGTTTCAAACATGATACTCATTGTTTTCTCAGCATTAAATATTGGGCTTAGATCGTGTTCGATCATGAGCATTGGATGCTCGATTGGGTTTAAGCGTAATTCTTTGAAAAATAGATAATTCCAAACGGATTCAATATCGTCCCATTCTTGTACAGTGCCATTGACTATACTTGGCGTAACATTCAAAAAGCATCTATTGTTTGAGGATATTTCCCTACCCAAATAAATCAACTTGGATTCAGCTCCTAGCATTTCCGGACTCTGGTGCATTGGTTTGGGTCTTCCGACCAAAGATGATAACACACAAGCTGGTTGTTCCTCTCCAGAAAATCCGGCTTTAATCAATAAACTTCCATTATCAACAATTACTGGTGTTTGTGCTAGAACCATGATTTCTCATGAATATTGTTCATGATTGATCAGAAAATAAATTGATGGAATGGAATTTCCCTTTCTGATGAAAGCCTTATCGTATTTTTTTTGAGATTTTGAAAAAAAAATGTTTAGCAGGTAAGTCTCAGTTTTGAGTGATAAAATAAAGATGGAGATGCATCATCATGATGATTTTTTGAAAATATATGTTCGGAATTATATAAAAAACTGTTATCATAAAAATGATATTATGGATGTGTTTGAAATGACTTGTGAATGAAATTTAAAAATTTATTTTCACTCAATTTAAAATTATCAGAATTTTAGGTGGATTGAGTAAAACCAGTTCAACAATTTTTTCAAAGATTGGATCCATTCTTGGAGGTTCAGCAAATGCTCAAAGAAAAGTATTTAATGAGGAAGATTTTAAATTATTGGAGAGCGCTCTTCTTTCGAGTGACGTTGGCAACAACACAACTCAATTATTACTTCAAAGGATGAAATCACAAGTTACAAATATTGAGAAAGAGTTAGAAAACAACCCAAATATGACAGATGTAAAGCCCATGAAATCTATTTTGAGAGAAGAAATGTTAAAATTATTTCAAAATCCAATGCAACAACAAATAGTGAAACGATTGCAACAAAATCAAGGAACTCCTGAAGAAGAAATATCAGTCTCTCTTACTCCTCTCTCTATGAAATCTAGGCCTACCGTCGTTCAAATATGTGGTGTTAATGGATCAGGCAAAACAACGACCATTGGAAAATTATTGCACAAATATAGACAATCAGGAACTGTAAGGCACATGATTGTGGCAGCTGCTGACACTGTGCGAGCAGCTGCTCCAGACCAATTAAGATCATGGGTAGAAAGAACACCTGATTGTTCAATTGTGGATTTAACAGAATCAGAGAAATTGAAAAAACAGTCCGAGACTCATCAGCCAGTTAAAACAAAGAACATTCGACAAGTAAGCTACAAAGTACCATCTGAGAGTGTTGTGTATGAAGCGATTCAGCAAGGTCTGCGAAAAGAAGATGTTGACGTGGTATTTGTGGATACTGCTGGAAGATTACAAAATCAAGAAGCATCGATGAAAGAGTTAGCTCTCATCAATGAAATGTGTTCCAGATCAAGAAAAGGTGCACCAGATCACACATGGCTGATTTTAGATGGAACCATCGGTCAAAACTCAATTCAGCAAGCAAAACTGTTCCAAAAGTATGTGCGGATATCAGGAATTATTGTGACAAAACTTGATGGAAGTGCCAAGGGAGGAGTTATCCTTGCAATAGCCAATGAGCTCAAAATTCCTGTCTTGTACATTGGTTTAGGTGAAAGTGTGCAAGATTTAAGACCATTTTACCCAGAACAATTTGTAGATTCAATTTTGTCTGTAACGGAGCAAAACAACGAAAAACAAGATGACGACGAAGAGGAATAATATGTCAAGAAATTATTTCCTTTTCAATCTAAAATGGATAACCTTATTTACTTGACTTTTTCTTTTTCTTTGTGCTGTCTTTCTTCTTCTCCTTAACTAAATCTTTCACAAGTGAGTTGGCACTGCGTTTGTCTTTCTTTGCCTTCTCTTTTTCTTGCTTTTCCTTATTCTTATCTATCAATTCCTTGTCGTATTGCTTCTTTGGTGTTAACTCTAAGAGCTCAATATCATAAAAGAGAGTGGCGTTTGGAGGAACCTTGTCAATAATTCCCTTCTCACCAAATCCTTTTTCTGGAGGAATAACCAATTCTCTAATGCCACATACGGTCATACCCTCAACTCCAATATTTATGCCCTTGATAACTTTTTTTGTGCCAAGTCTAAAGCTAAATGGATTTTTTCTCGTACATCTATCAAAAGTTTTGACTTTGTCTGGATCTAATCTTCCTTTATAATAGATCGTAACCTTGTCTCCTATTTGTGCCTTTCTGCCATGACCTACAAAAACATTTGTGATTTTAACACCTTGTCTTTCAAATTCCTTAGGTTCAGTATAATCTTCTTTCAGTCTTTCTGCTTCCTCCTCTTCTTCTCTCTTTTGTTGTTGTTGCTTTTCGTACTTTTCTACTTTCGATTTCTCCCATGGAGCCAAATCAGTGTATTTTGTTTTTTTCAATTTTTCCACAATTTCTTTAAAATAATTTCGTTTCAATCGGAAATATGCTTTTGCTCGATCTTCGAAAGTGGCGTTTGGAGAAAATTCTACATAACCATGAATGTCAACTCCAATACACTTTTCTTTCAATAAATATGGTCTTCCTTTCAATTCGAAAGTTAAATTGCCAATTTCATCTGCAGAGAACATGTGATTCAGATTAGTTTCACTCTTTAAAGGATGAGTCAATGTTGCCAAAACAAACTTTTTTCTCTTATCATCATCTTGGATACATGCTTGTAAAACACATCCGGGTATTTTCTCTTTTTCTTTAGCCTGTTCTTCCTCTTCTTGAGCCAAAATTAATTTTAATTTCTTCTTTGCTTCCTCTCTTTCTTTTACTTTTGAAGGTAAAGCAGCATCAAAAAGTGAGTCTACTTGTAACGAGCAATAAGTGATGGAAAGAGTACAATTTGAAACTTGTCCGAGAGAAAAAGGTTCATCGGGATTCACCCGAATTCTCCATTGCATCACTTGTACATTTTCCAAAAATTCTTTAATATCCTGAGAAGGATGTTTCATAAATTCCTCTTCTAATGCTTGATTTACAGCTGCATATTTTGTCTTTTTAATCCGAGGTGATGACGACAACAAACTCTCTCCATGCGATCGTTTCATTTTTTTGAAATTTTTGTTGAATTTGGAATTTTAAAATTCATTTCACTCTTGAAATCATCAACATTCTCTTTGAACCTCCATTCTTCTCACCTCAAGAGTAGCTTGTACTCAAGCACATGAAACTCATTTATTGTTGTTCATTTTCTTTACGTTTGATGATTTTCAACAGAGTCGTCGAACTCGTTTTGGTTTGTTTTTTGGTGTGCCATTTCGATGAGTCCACTTTTTTCACATTGGCCGATTGACAGCGATCCATATCCACCACAGAGATGGAAGGAGAACGGGGCTTGTTTTTCAATGAAGGTGCATCTTCATGTGTTGGAGTGGTAGGAGAAGAATGTCTACTATTGTTAGGAGTTGCCACAGAGAGAGAATTGGACGAGGAAGGAGTCGTGGTGGTGGTGGTGGTGGTTGGAGATTTTGCTGTGTGTTGTTGCTGACTTGTTTTGGTAGAGAATGCTGCCGTTGTACTACTACTACTAGTGGTGGTGATATTGATAGTAGTAGTGGTGGTGTTGGTGTTGGAGGAGAAGGAGGATCGTGAAACTCGTTGTGGGAGTGGTCCATCTCCAATCAATTGTTTGATTCTCTTGTCGAGTCCTGATTTTGAAATGAGAGCAAGTTGATTTGCAAATTTGTAAAAATTAATTTCTGTTAAAACATCTCCTTCAAAGTTGTAATACTTCTTTGCAAATGCTTCTCCAAAGTGATGAGCAATAAATTCCAAACTTTGTAATTTGATCGGATCAGGAACAATTTCTTTCGTTTCCTTAATTTCCTTTTTGGGTTCTTCGGCCATGTTTCTTAAAAATTGTTTTGTCTTTTCAATTTGATTGGCTGTATAAGTTTCCACTCGTTTCATGAATTTTTCCTTCTTACTTTCACTCACTTGAATTTGATTGGCAACATTTTGTAGAATCTTTGTCAAGAGTGTGAGTGTACGTTGAGCATTCTTTGGAGGCGGATCTTTGACGAGACCAAAAAGTTGAGGTGTGACCAATGCTGGACAGAAAAATCTAAGGAAGAGTAAGCCACCAACACACATTTCTCCACTCGATGGATATTTCTTTTCTGCTTCAGAGAATGTGTGAGAAAGAACTTCTCGAATTTGGATTGGACAATTGTCTTTGGAGTTGATTATTAATGTAAGAACTTCTGTACATAAACCTTCCAATAATGCTGCATTCTTGTCAGCGACTTCCGATGAACCAATTTTCTCATCATCAATTTCATAACTCTTATTTTCTTTGATCAGTTTTAAAAGGAAAGGTTTGATTGTTTTTGTGAGATATCGTAATCCAAACACTTTGAAAAAGAGAGTGACAAGCTTGGATGACAAACTGTTTCTTCTGAAAAGTGTTCCTGATGATTCAGCACAATCCACTTCCACTGTGACAGCAGCTTTCACAAAATCAACACTTGGTTTTGGAGAATCAGAGGAATCGAAGAGTGTGAGAAGAGGAGCAACCATCTTCTCCGATACGTTAATTTGGAATGAGTTAAAGCATCGCACAACCTCATGAAGATCAGTATTTGTTGTGAGAAGTTCGAAAAAGTCCAAGTATGGAAATATCTTGGTTGTAATTTCTTCTTCAGGATCACGTAAATCGGTTCTCTTTTCTTCCAAGAGAATGTGATCACAAATAGATGTGATCCACTCTTTTCTTGCTTCTTCAGAATCAGCAATGAAAATGTGTTCTCTATTTTCATGTTCTTTGCCATTGCTGAAACTAATTTGACAGGATAATGAAAATTTAAAACCTTTTGGATTGACAAGGTTAAAAAACTTGTCAAGTTTTCGTTCTTCCTTATTTTGTGATTTGATTTTTACAGGTTCTGTCTCTTCATTTTCAATACTTTCAATAATTTCATCAATAATTTGATTTCTGTCATGTTCACTATCTGTAGATGCAAGTAAATAATATGGATATAATTCATCAACGTCCAGCATTGGACCTCTCAATTCCAACTCTCTTCGTTTCCTTCTGATCAAGTTAATGGTTTGTTGTTCATCCAAATCAAGATCATTCATGGTTTCCAAAGTCATTGTGGGATCGTCTTCATCGAAAAGCAAAGCTTGATTGTAGTAGACAAATTCTTTGGATTTTTCAATATTTCTCTGTTTTTGTAATTCCTTTTCCATAGCTTCATCTCTGGGAACATAGATCTAGGTCATAAAATGAAGAAACACAATGGTCATTTCAAGCATAAGTATTTGGGCATGGATTCCGAATGAATGCATTAATATGACACAAATTCTTTTCATTTCACAACATACCATTGAATCACTGTCAATGACAACAATTCCCAAAGGTTCTTTCCGATCCTCTTCGGAATCAGAAGCATAATACTTCAAGAGTAAATTATCATCCAACTCGACATATCGTCGTGCCCATTTGGCAAAATTTCCTTGTCCTCTCTTGATCAGATAACCAGATTTTATCACTTTTGGTGTTCGTGATACAAGCTCTTCCTCTTCAATCTCTTGTTCTTCTTCTGTGTCAATTCTTCGATTGTTATTTTCCATAATTCCATCACCTTGCATTTTTATTTTCAGAAGGAGGGAATAAATACCTTGTTCCATTGCTTTAAAGTGACCTCTATTAGCCAATGGAGCTCTCATAAATCTGAATTGTACTTGAATTTCATCGGTAAGGTTAAGTGAAAATTCGACTGGATGATTCATGTCGAAAGCCTACGACGACGGAATATTATCATGATTGTGACGCCAGACATCATTGACGACAATTTCACAAAACGTGCGTGAAAAGAGATTCAAGTTAAAATAGGAATCATCCACATAAGAATGGAAAACCTACACTAATTTTGATTGGTTCTGTTCTTCCCAATCTCTTATCAACGGTTTTGGTCTCTCCCGTTGTCTCGAATACTTCAAGCCACAACTTTCCAACACTCAAAACACTTGTTGCATAGGGAATAATCACTCGTTTTCCTAACTTGATGTGCCATGGATTTGTATTACTAGAGAATGTTTTCACACTTGTCACTCTCACTTGATTATCAAAAAATACTTTCACATAAACTCCAGCACTGTCTGGCAATGATTTTGATGTTTCATTGTTGTTGTTGTTCTTGTAATTATCGATCGAGTCTACAATGACGATGAGTTTTTCTTTTGAATTGAAAAGTTCGCTCGTCGAGGTTTTACCACTATCGGAGGATGAGACTGATTGTCGAGGTGTGGAGAGAGTCAATGATATCGAGGAATTTGTTGTGGACTCTCCAAAATCATGAGGTGGAGTGCTTGAACCGAACATGATAAAAGTTCTTTCCTGTGAAGTTCAATTGAGAGAAATGATAATTTTGTATGATGAAGAGAAGGACGACAAGTTTTTTGTTGTCTCTTTGCTTAGAGGGTTTTGTGCAAAAATGAAAACTCTCACAGAGGGTGAATTAGCAACAACACGATGGCAGTTCCAGCCAACACTGTGATTTTTTTTTTGAAGTAGACTTGTGACAGGTAAAGGAAGAAGAGTGTGATCTGTGTGGGGCTTTGCTGATCTGTTTTCGGGGTGCCTTGCTGATTCGTGTGCAAACAGGTCTTCCTCATTGGTGGAATGAGGGTAAATCTTATGGAACAGTGAGGATTCAAGAACTTGGAATGTGTTGCCAATATCAGTCTTTGTCGTTGTGATGATGAAGTCAAGGAATGATGGAACAACAACAAATATGCCTCGTTGGTATAATATAAACCAACAATATAATTTTATATTACAAAATATATAATATTTTAATTAGAAAAAGGAAAGCCTTCAAAATCCACAAGAGGATCAATAAACCATTCCAAAACTCTTGTCACGCTCTTTGGTAAAAGATGCTTCATGAAAAATAAGACACAAAACACAATAATGCAATCAAAGAGTCTGAACAAGAATACTTCCCAAGCATTTTCTTTTGCCCATTCTGTAAATTGTTTCAATAACTCCATCACCTTATCAAGTCTCAATAAATTCTGTTTTTTTGAATGAGTGATAGGAATGGAATTCTTTGTTTTCGGATGGTAATAGTTGGAAAGGGCTTTGGACAAGACTCGAACAATTTCATCCGTTCTCGTGGCAGCCACTTGAGGGTTGTTGATTGGTGATTCTTTCAATGAAATTGCTAACACTGTGCTACTCAGTGGATGAATTTCAAAAAGCTCCTCCTCTTGTTCCGATGCACTCATTTGCTCATCATGATGAGCTTCATCATCAAAAGTGTTATTGAAAGCAGGAACTGTTTTAGAAAATGATATTTCCAATTTTCTCTTATTTTCCTCATCTTCCGAAGAGATTAGTGTCATTGAGTTGGTTTGGTTGGATGATGCAGATGAAATCATTGTGGAAAGTTCAAATAATTTTTTAAAATTTGTTTTCTCAAAAAACTTTTCCTTTAAAACACTTGAAGTCATTGACAACCATCATTCCTACTACGAGGATATCCTATGATCATTCCTTTGTTAAGAATGATCAGGAATTCAACAACAGGACCGTTTATTGGAACTTAAGTTGGAAGATCAAAAAATGAAAAAAATAAACCTATTCATCAGATCAAAGCCTCACTCTGGCTTCTCTTCGATCGTAATGAGCCATCATCATTCGGAATCAACCATTCGATCTTACAAGATATTTATGAGTAATGGATTTGCGTATCATGATGAAAAAGAATTTGAGAATAAGTTTTCATTCAAAGTTTTTGATGGAAAAGGTTGGTGTTCGAGTTGGACATGGATACTGAAAGCAACAATATTCTTATATATCATTCAGGTCTTGAAAATTTTGTGAGTCAAGTCAATGAGTACAAACCAGATGGTCTCTACTTTGTTGGATGGAAATCACAGTTCAAACTGTCGAATGATGGATTTTTCGCAAAGCTTTCAAAAGAGGCAAAAGATAACTTGAAAATCATTGCAAATCATGGCGTTGGATACGATAATGTAGATGTCCAAGCTGCTCTCACAACAAAGGATAAGCCAATAATTGTCACTCATACTCCTGACGTGGTATCAGATGCAACTGCAGATACTGCTATGATTCTCATGTTGAATGCATCTCGAAAAACAAGAGTTTTTGAAGAAAATCTCAGACAAGTAAAGTGGAAATCAGGTTATGAAACACTCATGGGCCATGATCTGAAAGGTAAAACATTGGGTATTATTGGCATGGGAAGCATTGGAACTAAAACTGCTATGAGAGCGCTTTCATTTGGAATGAGAATTGTATATCATCAAAGAAATCAAAGAAAGGATGTTGAAGAAAAACTGACGCGAGTTGGACAACACCTTTCAGAGATGGGTGGATACAACAATCAACCGATCGTTGAGTACTGTAAAAACATGGATGACCTTTTGAAAGAGAGTGATATCATCTCAATTCATACGCCTCTCACCGAATCTACTCGTCACCTTATTTCCAAAAAACAATTTGAAATGATGAAAAAGAGTTGTATTATTATTAACACTGCAAGAGGAGCAGTGATTCATGAGAAATATCTTGTGGAAGCTCTAAAATCAAACAAAATTGCTGGATGCGGATTGGATGTTTTTGAATTTGAGCCCACAATTACTCAGGAACTGTTAGAATTGGCTTCCATTAATCCATGTATATCCTTATTGCCACATATTGGTACACAAACAGAGGAAACGAGATTTGATATGGAGCAATTATGCATTGAGAATTTACATCGGGTCCTTATTGAAAGCAAAGATCCTGTCACTCCTGTGCCTGAACATAAGCAATTATTTGCTAGAACTGAAACTCAAAAGTAAATAATCGACCGCAAGTCGAAAACATGATGAGTTCTCTTCAAGGTTCAAAGTTTTCTTTTTTTGTACATTGTGAATAATGATCTAGATCCTTTCAACCAACAAAAAAATGTTCAAGTGGTCTCGATTGAATCACAACGTTGCTGATGAGGATTTGAATTGTGTTTCATCCTCCCAAACGCCAACTCCCAACACACACCAAGTGGCTTCTTATGGGAAAGATCGGAAAGAACATCCATTCAAGAGTTGTGCTCTTCCATCGGAAGTGGTGATCAAAATTGTTTCCTTCATGGATTTAAAGACTCTCTTTTCGTTCGCTGCCACCGATCAATTTCTGTTGAAATTTCTATTCAACCAATCACCCTCTCGAGCCAAAGAATATATCAAGTTGAAATCAAAACGCATCAATTCATTGAGCGAAACGGATGTTCCTCAACTTGCAAAACAATACAAAAAACAAGAGGAAGAGAAAGAGTTTGAAGTAGTTCAAAGAGAAGTGTGGAAACCCTTGGTTTGTTATTATTTCCCTCAATTCGAAAAATCATTGAATGTCAAGAATTGGATGCATGTGTTGCGCAGAAGAGTGAACCATTTGAAACTTTACGCTCCATCGGTTCTTCCACTCTCTCGAAACGTAACAACAGATCCTTTCAAATTCAATGTATTGTTGAACGTTGATGACAGCTCATTCTTTATTGAGGGATGCGAATTCAATTACAAGTAAGTGAAAAATAATTTTAAAAAACAAATGGTTTTCGATTGATGTTTCACAACAACTCTCCTTAAAGATGCCCACTCAAGTACGATCAATTACAGTATGTAACTGAGAATACACGATTCTGTGAGCAATGTCACAAAACAGTTTACAGAACGAATGATATTACTGAATTCAAGAATCATGTCTCTAATGGCCATTGCATTGCCTTCTCAATGAAAATTGATACGCTTGAGTTTGATATCATGGGAGATATGTACTATCCACCTGAAGAAACACATGTTTAAAATCTAGGTAAAATTGGCTGTTGTCTTTTGATTCTGGATTTAAGCTAGGACCATTAATTTCCATTTTGGTCGAAAGAGACTGCCCTTTCTTCGCCATGTGGATATAAGAGTTAACATGAAATCTTTGCACATGATCATCTGTTAAACTTTCTATCGCATGTCCTGTAACCTTTTGTTAAATCTCCATTCTTTTGCTTTGCTTGGACCATGTGGTGCATCTTTTTTCAGCGCATCTAACTCTTCTTGCTCTTCTTCGACCTCCTTTTTAATCTCTCACTTCAAGACATTGATAGCATTCTCTACCGGATTCAGTCGAGGAGAATAAAGCATGAACCATGTGTCCGTAGCATTTAATAGCTTTTTTGATCAATTCAAAATTATGAACTTTTGAATTATCTCCTACAAAGCCAAGTGGTTCATCCTTATATAAATCTGATTTCTCCTTAATAAAATCAATGATCCATCTGACGTTGGATGTTCCTTTTTTGAATCTCCAATTCCTTTCTCCGGATTGTCTACTCATAGCAAAAACAACAATATTGAGAGATTGAGTTCTTGCACTTGGTTGTCTTGGTAAAGACGTGAAATAAATAATTCAAAAAATTTGTAAGCAAGAAGGCTTGTCGGACACGTATTGATCATCATCATGACGAGAAGAAGCTTGCTGTGTGGCTGTTTAGTACTATTATCGTGTTTATTATTGATTACTTTCCTTCAAGCCAAATCCAATGTGTACTCGAATATTGAAATATTATCCATCGATAGAACAATCGACACCACACAAAATACGATGGTGAGAGAGGAAGTAAAATGTTCAATTCAAAATGTTGGATCATCCGAGACTAAATACTTTTATTTGGCTTTCCCTAAGTCATTATCAATGAACAATGTTGCCTATGTTTCTGCTCGCCAACAATCCGCTTCTTTGAATATTCTCAAGCACAAATTTGATGATGAATTGAACAAGTAAGTGGAATGATGATAACGGATCGAGTATAGATTATATAATATCAATGTTGTACGATAATGATTTTAATACTTTCCGTTATCTTCTTTCACAAAATTTCATGATAATATATTGTTGCTTTCCACAATGACATCACCGTATTACAAAATATACGAATCCACGATCTACCACAGAGATGCATCCTTCTTTGAAATTGAACTCTCTTCTCCTTTGGGAGCCAATCAAAAGGCTGATTTAGTCATTAATATTGTATATGTCAATGTTGTTCATCCTTTCCCAAAGGAAATTACACAAAGCGAACATCAAAAAGTTGTTTTCGAGAGTAACGCCTACTTTTTCTCTCCTTACAAGGTGAGACAACAAGTAGCCACTCTCAAAGTCGGAACATCTTCGATTGAGTCATACTCTACAAAAGTTAAGCCTGTTGAAAACAAGGGAACTGGTATTCAATATGGACCATATCGTGATGTGAGTCCATTCTCTGTGGATGAAATGAGAGCTCACTACACCAATGATAGACCATTCTTTATTGTTGAATCAGTGGATAGAACTGTCGAAATTTCTCATTGGGGTAATTTGGCTATTGAAGAACACTATGAAATCAAACATGGTGGAGCTAAATTAGTTGGACCATTCTCAAGATATGAATATGCAAAGAATCCACCTCAAACATCACCATCTTCATTTAGAAAGATTACAGCCACTTTACCACTTACTGCCACTGACATTTACTTTAGAGATAGAATTGGAAATATTTCATCATCTGATATTCGTGTTGTTGGAAAGAACCTTGAGGTTGATTTTTATCCAAGATTCCCACTTTTTGGTGGATGGAGAATTCGTTTTTATATTGGCTACAATTTGCCAATCAGTGACTACCTCACCACAGCACTTAACAATCCAGAAAAGCACAAATTGAGATACAAATTCTCAGTGCCTTTTGATGCTCCAGTTGAGGATCTCACTCTTCGTGTCATTGTTCCAGAAGGTGCCTCTGATATTGAATTCCGTACCTCTTTCCCAATTGACAGTGAACATAGAGAAAATTTAAAGACATATCTTGATGTTGGGGGACGAACTGTGGTTGTTGTCAAGAAGAAGAATGTCGTTCCAGAACACAATGAAAATTTCCTCCTCTCTTACAATTTCCCAGTTACGGCAGCCTATTTCGAACCACTCTTGGTGATTGGTTCACTTTTTGCTTTCTGCATGTTTGTGATTGTTTATGTAAGATTGGACTTTTCCATTCAAAAATCAGAGGAAGAACTCGAAAAAGAGAGAGAAGTCATGTCATACGAATTAGTTGAGTCATATATTGAAAAGTTCTTCGAGAGAGACTCATGGTATTCAGATCTAGAAAAGTCGATTGCTCAAAGAAACATTTCAACGCTTATTGATGAAGTTGAAAAGAAGAGACAAGCCATGGCAGACATCATTAAGAATGAAATCGTTGCCGAGTTGTCAAAAGCACAATCTAAGGCTGTTTCTACTATTAGTGAAATTGAAAAGAAAGAGCAAAAGAAGTTTGACTACATGAAGGATATTGCTATTGCCAAGTCGGAAAAGGAAAAGGAAGACCTGGGTAACAAGTACTCTGCAGTTTCAGATGAAATCTATTCCCTAGTTGATTTATTGAGAGATTAAATAAATTATTAAACTTCAATTGGTACAAGGAGTTGTTGTGACTGAGACTGGATCATCATGCAATCGTGTCCAGTGTTTTGAGTTAGTTGGATTCATCCTCAACATTGAAATCTTGGAACTTGAAAGCCATCACCAATAAAATTCAGAGTAATTTTTGAATTTAAAAAAATATCTCAAGCACTCTCTCAATTTTTCTCTTCCTCAGGTTAAAAGCCAATAATATCATCATCAAACCACGTCATGAGCGAAAGTGTTCACGAAGATAGAACCATTGAACAATGGAGAATTAAAAAGCTGATTAAAAACCTGAGCGAGGCAAGAGGTAACGGTACCAGTATGATTTCTCTCATTATTCCTCCAAAGGATCAAATCGCGAGAGTAACCAAAATGTTACAAGAAGAATATGGTACCGCTTCGAACATTAAAAGCAGAGTCAATAGAATTTCAGTTCAAGACGCTATTACCTCTACCATTCAACGTTTAAAGTTGATTACAAAAGTACCCGATAACGGATTGGTTGTCTACTCTGGCACTATCCTCACCGAAGACGGAAAGGAAAAGAGAGTCACCTATGATATGGAACCATTCAAGCCAATCAACACTTCCTTGTATTTGTGTGATAACAAATTCCATGTTGAGCCTTTACAAGAATTGCTTGAAAGTGATGAAAAGTTTGGTTTTATTATTATGGATGGTAACGGTTGCCTTTACGGAACACTCTCAGGAAATACTAGCACTGTTCTTCAAAAGATTAGCGTTGACTTGCCAAAGAAGCACGGTCGTGGTGGTCAATCTGCTTTGCGTTTTGCTAGATTGCGTTTAGAAAAGAGACACAACTATGTGAGAAGATGTGCTGAATTGGCTGTCCAACACTTTATTACCAACGATAGACCAAACGTTTCTGGTCTCATTCTTGCTGGTTCTGCTGACTTTAAGGTTGATTTGACTCGTACTGATTTACTTGACCAACGTCTTCAAGCCATTATTTTGAAAGTTGTCGATATTGCTTACGGAGGTGAAATTGGTTTCCAACAAGCAATCGAGTTGTCACAAGAATGTTTGAAAGAGGTCAACTTTATTCGTGAAAAGAAAATTATTGATGAATTCTTCACAGAAATTTCTAAGGATACAAACAAGTTTGTTTTCGGTGTAAAGGAAACTCTTTCTGCAATGGACATGGGTGCCATTAAGACACTTATTGTATGGGAAAACCTTCCTCATCTCAGATACAACATTAAGCAACCAAACGGTGAATATGTTGTCAAATACTTGACACCCGAAGAGGCCAAGTCAAACAAACATACCGTTGATGAGAATGGTAACACATTGGACTATGAATCTGTTTCTTTATTGGAATGGATTGTTGAAAACTACAAAACCAAGGGATGTAATTTGGAGATTGTGACTGACTGTACTCCTGAAGGATCTCAATTTGTCAAAGGTTTTGGTGGTATGGGTGGTATTTTGACCTATCCAATGAACATGGATGAAGTGTCTTATTATCAAAATGATGAGCACTTGGCCGGAGAAGACCAATTCAATGAGGACGACTTCATTTAACGACCCAACGGAACATACAGTGCAGGGAGGAGTCAATCACTGTTAAATTCCGTTCGGTCAAAGTTTGTCGTAGTCATCTTTCTCATTCGCATTTTACCATTCCTTATCACTTTTGTGAATAAGCAACGAATGGTATGTGTCGATTTACTGCGTGCTTGTCGTTGGGCTTTAAGAACTTCAAAGATGAATGGGCACACTTTGACACAGAACTCACATTTCTGTAACTTGGTGAGCTTGCTCCTCACTCACCACCACAATTATTATCAAATTAAATAACATTACATTTATGTACATGTGTGTGCATGAACTAGTTTAAAAGTACTGCGGACCTGCTTGTATACACACAAGATCAAATAGTTGGAAAAATCAATTTGTGTTTTTGGGAAATTATTTACAAGCTTGTAAGAGGAATCTTCCTATTCCTTCTTTTGAGGCAGATAATCATACACAATATATGAAAACAACTCAACCTGATCCAAATATCTCACCAATTCTTTCTGAAAGCAAAAGGTCCAATCTCCTGCTGTTTGCATTTCCAGAAACACTTCCCCATCAATTTCCATTTTTATCATGCATTGTTTCAAGTCATTCGTGACCGAGTCAATTTGTTGCTGAGTGACTGATGTCTTATTCTTTGCTAGAGAGGCTTTCCAAAGCATGGTCATCAAATTCCCCACCTCTTCTGGAGTCTGTTGTAGAATGTTCTCTCGAGTGAACATGAATGGATCATCAATAAATCCTCCTCCTAAAACTGATGCTGTCGATTTGGTAGAAAAGAAACCACCTGATTTCTTCTTCTTCTTTTTCTCCTCTCTCAATTTTTCATATTTTGCAAAATTTTCAGAGTAGGTCATTAAATTGTCTCGAATTCTTTCAAGTTGAAATTGAAACTTTTTCAATTCACCAAATGGCTTAATTTCTCCATTAAAGTATTCATTCATTTTTTCAATATCTCCTCCACACTCATTGTAAATGGATATTAAATCTGATCTATTTGAGTGTTTCGAATGTGAAATTTTTGAAATTCAAATTTTTCAATTCAAATTGAATGAATGGTTCATGGAAGAGATGCATTCAGAGAATGATGGAAATAAATGTTTTCAAACACTCAATACCATTCGAATGGACTTACCCTGTGAATTTCTTCAAAATTTTCTTTGTATTTTTCGAGAGACCAATCTCTCCTGCCCATTCTTCACAATCCTTTAAAAGTTAAATGTCAAAATAGTGTCAACCACGATGTTGTAAATGTGAATACATCCAACACGTTTAAGAATTTATATGAGGCAATGATAGTACATTATCATCACTCGCAACAATAACAAACCTTTCCACTCCACTTTTCAATTACTAAATAATATTTTGTGTAACAATGTGATGATGTTGCCAATGTGATCACAACGGCAAGATGTAAATTTCAGATTCGACATTTCATTTTCCGATCCATCATCATTAAAGTGGTGGTGATTCATTGTGATGAATAAAATAAAATATATTAATTTTTGTCCAATTCGACACATGACAGCCACATGACATCATCATGAACGAACCGAATCATCATCATCATCACAGATTGTACCGTAATAAACATAACCGTAATTTTGGCCATGAACTTACACTTGTTTTTCATTTTTATTTTGGATGACAATCGCCATCACAAACGTCACTCGTCATTTTTAAAAAATGTCTCGTATGAATGACTTTGTTTTGCAACAACTCGTACAAGAAAACGAAAGACTGAGAAAAGAGTTAGAAGCATGCCAAAAAGCAATTCCAGTCTCGGAAGCAAGTAAATCACTCATTTCATACTGTGAAAACACTCCTGACATGTTAGTCAAAGCAGAACCTAATACCAAGAATCGATTTCACACGAGTGGAGGAGGCGGAGGTGGTTTGTGTGGAGGAGGATCCTCTGATTAAATGGTCATTGATGAATGAATATTCATTTATTGAGAACGATGATTGGAATCATCATCACCATCATGTTGTGTGTTCTCTCTCAAATGATATTCTTTGTAAATATTCTCAAAATTAAAAATTTTTAATGTCAAGGAAATTATTGTCAAATTATACGTACATTGTGATGATGAGAGAGGATGAAGCTGCTGAGACAACAACAAGGACGATGGTGGTGGTAGTGCACTTTGGTTTTTAAATTGAAAATTGATGAGGAACTCATCCAGACAGTATTCTCTTATGCATGCGCAGTGTTTGGGTGATCTTTGGCCAAGCCAGAGTCCTAAGGACTTTCGCTGGACTAATTCCATTCGTGGTCCATTATCCAAGCGAAAAAACACAATTCACAACAACTCTCTCTCCTCTCTCGTGCGATGGTTCAGTTCTCGGGAGATGAGAAAGTGGAGAAATCCTGAAAGAGCGCGCGCGATCAGAGTTCTTATTCCCGAACTGTAAAACTGTCAGTGTCTTCAATCTGTTTCAAAACTTACAAAGGCTGTCTTATCAACTTGATCTTCAGTATCGATCAATTCAATTGAATTCAGAATCAGTGCACAATATATAGCACTTGGTGCAAAGAAGACTAGTAGTAGTATTTATTAATCCTGTTGTTGTTTCAAAGTCCACAACAACAAGAAAAAGAACAAACTCACTTCAATTCTGTTCTTGAATACAACATGAAACATGAATGACCTTGGACCCTCTCCATCTCAACTTCCACCAATACCTTCACAAAGACGACCTCCACGTCCACAACCAGAAAGCTCACCAAAATAAGGAAAAGCTGAAAACTCTGAAACTAATCAAGAGCTAAGCAGGAAAGCTAAGCATGGAAAGAACTTCTCGAATTTGGATTGGACAATTGTCTTTGGAGTTGATTATTAATGTAAGAATTTCTGTACATAAACCATCGGATGCTTCTCTCGATCGTGGAGGTGATCGCCTCCTCCTTTCTCTTTGAATATTGGATGGTGGTACTGCTTTCGAGGTCATGTTTGTTGGAGGTTGAACTGTTGCCATTGTGTTGGGAGTTGCTTTTTGGTATTTCAATAAGAAATGTCCACAACAACAACAACCTTATTTGCCAATGATCAAGTTCGTGCCAGTCATCAACAAGAGATGATCTCAAAATGATGTCATCATGTGAGATTGCAAGACGAGGGAGAGGTGGAGACAAATAGGACCACTCCACAAGAATCTGTTCAAACTCTCGTTCACAACAACCACAGTACAGTTTTCAACTAATTAACTTAACTTGATGGTTCCACCACCACAACAAAACGTTATGAATGATAATGGAATGGTTTAAAAAAAATTTAACAATTAGGGCATCATGAAAAAAGTTTAGCTTAACCAATCCAACAATATTTCCAAATTTGAAAAAAGATTCTTGAAATAAACATTGAAAAAAATGTATCGCAACAAAACACTCATTCAACTGGGCCTTTCATCTTTTCGCAAGCCTGCAAATATTGTATTTGGAAATCAATTATTGTGGTTGACTCGTAGGGTAGTGTTTCATGGATGATCGGAATACAAATTTATTAAATACAATTTTATTGCTTGAAAATTATTGTTTTTAATTAAATTAATTTAGCAACAAATGGGTTCAAGAGAATTCAATGATCAACAACAAGTTACAAATTACTCCACTGCCTCCACAAGTAAATCAAAAAAGAATTCAAAATTCTATACTTTTTGTAATCAAAAGCTTTCCGATCAATTAATTGTCAATGGAAAGAACATTGTTGAAGAATTATTCAGCACCTCAAGTTCCAAGCTTTGTTTTAGTGAAATTTCGTTCAAGAGGAGCGTTCTGACAGTTGAAGGAGAGCAGGCTGATTCTTTTATTCACTCACTTGTCACAAGTGATGTCTCCAAAAGGCTTTTACACATAGATGATGCAAAGAAAACATCTTTAGCTCTTCATAATTCCCAACCTTCCATGTTTTTAAATCCCAAAGGAAGAGTTCTGTTTGATACCATTCTTGGAATAGAATTTGATAGTGAAAGTGGAGCAATGAAAAATAATAACAGAATTTATATTGAGCACGATACAACCAAGACTGATGATTTATTTGCACATTTGAAAAGTCATGTACTAAGAAAGAAGGTTAAAATTGAAAAATATGTCACAAGCTTTGACAATCAACCTGAAGGTACCACAGTTGTCAAAGTCTTTGCATTATTTGGAAATCCACTTTTAAAAGCTAAAACTGGTGAGCTCAAGTACAAATGGAAGGATTCTGTCGTGTGTTTGAGGGATCCACGATTGGACGTACTCGGATACAGGATTTATGGATTTTTCAAGTCACAAAGTGAGTATGAGAAATTCAAACAAGATGTTCAGTCAGAATTGCAGCCAGAACAATTGATATTGGATACTGAAAAGGCGGAATACTATGAAAGAGTTCGGATTCTATGTGGAATTGCCGAGAATGCAATTGACATTCCAACAGATGTTGCATTTCCAATGGAGGCAGGATTTGAGCAAATTGGTGGAATTCACTTTGATAAGGGATGTTATATCGGTCAGGAATTAACCACTAGAACCTATCATAGAGGTGAAATTCGAAAGAGAATTCTTATTGTTCGAGGTGACAATTTACCAAGCCCAGGTACTGAACTAATATTTAGCGGAGAAAGTGTAGAAAATCTCAGAAATGATAAGGCAGGAAGAATGTGTTCCCGTGATGGATCTTTAGGACTGGCTCTTGTGAAATTTGAACCCCTAATGGAGAAGGATTCTAATATTTCTCTTGTTTCTGAAACAGATACCAGCTCTTCCATTAAAATTACTCCACCCTATTGGATAGCATTGTAAATAAACAAAGAAGGTTGGCATTATCGAATCTAAGGCAATCGAATTACAGAATTGCCTCAATGACATTATCGATGCTGTAGACAATGATCCAAAAATTTGTTGCACTGATCTAAAAGAGACTCCCTTTGTTTCCCTTTCTCAATTGGAGGAAAAGTGTAATTCGCAAGAATGAAATGTTCTAGCTTCAAATCAAACTCATCTTGCAACTCAGAAAAAGGTCTTCCAATATGTCTAGTGTACATTTCATAAAATTCTGGTAATGGAGCAGGAAAGTGATACATCATAAGATGGTACTGTAGAACACATTGTTGATACATTACTTTTTCAATCATTTCTTCATCAGACAAATCTGCTCCTTCTAGTGGATGTCCATGAGTCATGAAATGGTCTCCCGAAATTCCTTCCTTGTTCGGCCTTAACTCTTTGCAAGTGGAATCAAAATCATTGAATTTGTGTTGAGAAGAAGGAGTATTAGCCTTCTCTAGCTGTTCACCCTCGCCATCACCTTGGTAGTAATGTCTATTCGAGGAAAGTTGGCTCAACGTCCATCCAACGCCGAGCACATCGCTTGTTTGCTCCGCCGGAAATAAGCTTATTTGTGGTTCCGATGAAGAGTCGTTGTGGTGTTCCAAATGTCGATGATAAACGTGAAGATGCGGATTTTTACATCGGCTTGTATCATTCTCTCCTACCGGACATCCACAATACATTAATAGTTTTCCAGAACCATGAGAACTATGATGAAGGCTGTACTCATCATCGTCTTGAAAAGTCGATAATTCTACTCCCATATTCCTTGGTTTTCATACAATACGTATTTACAATTTATATGTTAAGATAAATATTTGTTTACAAGCAGAACCAAGTTGTTGGCTTGCAGTTGATTGCAGTTTAGGATTGATTGAATAAAACAGCTTTATGATGGTTGCAAGGAATTTGACCGAATCAATTTTTTCGTTTTTTTGAAAAAAAAATGTTCAATCCTCATGTAAGCGCTCGTTTGTCATCATCATCATCGGAAAGCGGTTCTACAAAGAATCAAGTGAACGTGGTATTGGTCCATATCAATGGCCTCTCACAAGATTGCTACAAGAATGAGAATACTTTTCAAAACTCAATGAACCAATTTTTGGAAGAGGCTGTAAAGAAAAAGACAATTACTGAAAATATTAATGCGAATTCTGTTCATTGTGAATCAGAGGTGAAGGATATATCAAACATTAATAATGAAACGTCAATAATTACAAACTCTATAACAAACAATCATGGAACGATTAAACATGACGCAGAGATTATTATATTTCCAGAATTGATTGGAGCTTGGCTAGTGGCTCTCAATGAACAGCCATTTATATTTTTAATTCCATCTCAATTAATAGCAATGATTTTTATTGCAGCAGCTAATATTATCCAATTTATGAGATATTTCATAGTGGAATGTTTTTCATATTTTATTGACCTTAGACATCTGACAAATCTATTTAGTTTTGTGACTTGGGAGGGACTGATTTATCGAAGCATCTACAAGCTAAAGTCTCAAGCAATGTTTGAGGTTTATGACAAAACTTTTTCAGAGATAGCTAAACAAAGAAGAGCTTATGTGGTTGCCGGCAGTATTTATTTACCTAAAATCGAGTACAACTCTAAAATGAAGCGACTAACCAATGACGGACTTTACAATCAATGTGTCGTGTATGACCCGTTTGGAAATATTGCACACGTTAGCACAAAATTATTTCCTTCTGAGGACGAATATCATCTATTGACAAAACGTAACAAAAGTGTACACATCAATGCAAACAATTTTTGTTTCAATGCAAAAGGATTGGGAAGAGTGTGTGTCCTAGTTGGAACCGATTCTTGGTTAGATGAATGTTATCCTTGGTCATCCTATAATGACGACGTTAAATTCAACGATGACCAAGATTTGAGCCGTGTTCCTCAGTTTATCATTGTTCCAGCTTTCTCAAGCCCCGCAGTGGACTGGAATAGACCCTGGCAAGGATATCCTCACCATTCAGTAGCCATGACAGGAAGTAATGTTCAAGAATTTGCTGTCCACCAGATTTCACCAACATTAGGGGAGCTGTGGAAAGCTTGCCTTGCTCACCAAGCTCAACAAGCTCCAGAGATGGCCTTCTCTCAAAATAATTCGACCACCAAGTCACCATCATCACCTTATTTTGTTTCGTGCTTTTGTTGTGGAAAGTTATGGAGCAAAGATGTTTTTGGGGAATCATTCATCAAACTCAAACAACACAAGAATCTCATCACCTGTCGATCCTGTTTGAATTTCTCTCTCGAGGTTCATACAAGGGTCACTCTATGAAATACTTCCACCTCTTGAGACATGAATTTTAATTCACTTGCACTGAGGTGTTAAAATACACGACCATTCGAACAATAAGTGACTGTATGGTTCAGAGACAGTAGTACTTAGTGTTTCTGTTGTTACCACTAACTACTCAATTTCTCAGCCGTTGCAGTTTCCCACCTTCCAAATTGTGGGTGGGCATCACCAAAATAAATTTGGAGACAAGTCAAAAAATTTATCGCCAGAACCGTTGTCGATTGTTCTTACTCTCTCGTCGATTTTTCTTTCCCAGTCGGTTATTGTTTGGTTCATCAGGAGAATATCATCAACAATTCTTAATTGATAAAAATGGATTGCGACGTTTTATACAAAGGTAAATATTCTCATCACGATGATGAAAATTAATAGTCCCGTTATTGTTGTTGTTGTTTGCCATCAAATGTTCGGATTGATACAACAGTTGTTGTTATTGGCGATTCCGGTGTTGGAAAATCCAACCTCATCACTAGATTTACTCAAAACAAATTCACAAAGGATACCAAACCAACCATTGGAGTTGAGTTTGGTGCCAAATCAATTGAATACGATGGTGTCACTATCAAGGGACAAATTTGGGACACGTAGGTTTTATTATTTTGTTGTTGCTTCTTTCATCATCGTGTTGATATTTGTTTCTTATTTCTATTACTATTTCGTTTTTATACATTCCAATTCACTTTTTTAAAATAATATTTCCATGTATCGAAATACTTTGTGAATTCTGTATTTGCTACTACACGGGATGTCAATTACTTGTCAACTGATGAAAACTCATCATTTTATATTTCCGTAATACCAGTGCTGGTCAAGAACGATTTAGAGCAAGTAAGTGTATACTTTTGTATCAACCGGATTATTATCTTGCTTTTGATAGTTTCTGCTGCTTACTACAGAGGTGCTAACGGAGCTCTCATTGTTTATGACATTACCAATCAAGAAAGCTTTGATAACTTGGAAAAATGGTTCAAGGAAATTGAAAACCAAGGTGAAAATGGATGTATCAATATCTTGATTGGAAACAAGTGTGACTTGAATCATTTGAGACAAGTTGAAACTGCAACAGGAAGAGCTTTCGCTGAGAAACATAATGTTCCTTTCATGGAAACTTCTGCTTTGGATTCGACAAACGTCGACGAGGCTTTCACAACTCTTTTGAAAGAAATTTATAAGACACAAAGCCGAAAGAATAAGAAGACAGAAGAGACCACTGGTGACGTACCCATTGGCCCAACTGATAAAGTTATTATTGACGATACCAATGATGACAAAAAGCCAGGTACAAAACCACAACAAGGAGGCAGTGGTGGTGGCTGTGCTTGTTAATTTGTTTTTTCGAGCACGTGTCGACTCGCTGTTGTAAATAACATTATTAAGAAGACATTCCTTAATCTATCAAAATAAAAGACACTCATTCAAGTGTAGTTGTATCTAAGAACCACCTCGCTTTGATTCTTTAAATCGAGGTGGTGACATGTTCACCTCAAAGCCATCCATTTTCTACTGCTAGGGCAAGATTTTTGGACCTTGTGTTGGTGATTCTCTTTTTAGCCAGTTCCTTCCAACGCCAAAACAAGCTGTTTCTTTACACGACCAAAACCAACAACCGATTTGCAATCTGAAATCTCTTCAACACAACAAGGACAGCTTAGAAAGGAAAAAAAATCCAAAAACACTGTCCTCGCACCACCTCGTTGCTGAGCGCCGAAACACTACACAACCAAGCAACTTGGTTTGAGCTGCTATACTAAGCATACAACACTCTTGAGGTTTATTGTACCATATTATATATGTTAAGAAGAAGAAGAAGATAATTTGGTTTGACCATCGGATCATCTTGCTCGCATCAAGCTTAAATTTCCCTTTTGAAAGCCTCATGCCCATGAAAATACAGCCCGTTGCCAGCACCGACAGCATTTGTAATAAAGAGAGCGGAGAAGGATCGATGGCGGCTCAAACCAATCATGAAAGCATTGCGCTTGAAGATCATCACCCCTCCATGAAGAACGAAATTGCAAAAAAGCACTCGCTCCCCTGTTCTGGATGCTTTTCAGTACGGATCTTTATCATGCTCACCATCACGATTCTAGTCTTGACCTGCTCATGTTTGGTATGGCTCACCTCGTTTGTTTCGACCAAACAAGCTTTAAACGAGCTCTCAACAGAGTTGATGATCTCTGCAGGTATGAATGTTCTGACCTATGTAGACTCTCAGATTCGGCCAATCATTGTTGCTACAAGAACAGTCGCCGATGATTACAATATTGGTCTGATTCCCAAACGCCCTTCCTTGTCTTACCTTTATACCAAATTCAATGCGTTCAATCCTTATGGTATTGGTCTGATATTTGAAGATGAATTGTATACGTTCAACTTGTTTGGTGTTCCTCCTAATGAGGTATTATCATATTACTACAAACCAGTGGATGAATATGTCTTATATACCATGAGTGTGAATGCATCAAATGGAGAAATCACTGGTCAGCTGAAAGGTATGTAAATGTCATAATAATGCGCTTGTAACATTAAAATGGTCTTAATGGTGTTTCTTAGTGACACCCAATTACGACACGACCAAACAAAGCTATTGGGTTCATAGCTTTGAACAATTTCCTTTACTTCAAACAGACCATGTGATAGGAGAGCCATATTATGTACCAGGAGGAGGTTATACAATATATTGTTGTGTCAAGTTATTCGATCCAGTGGAGTATGCAAAGGGAAACAAAAGAGTAGTGGGTTTGGCCAAAACAAATCTTTCTTTGAACTTGATCCAGAATTTTCTTTCTGGACTTACAGTTCTTGGATCTGGCTATGTGTTAGTCTCACAGACCAATAATGATTTGATTATTGGTGGTAGTATTAATACCAGACCTGATGACGGAATTTCTAGGGTGTCCATTTATGATTTAAAAGACCAAAGAGCTGGTGAATTGATGAAGAAGATACAATCTGTTTATGGTAGCCTTTCAAAAGCACCAAATTTCATTTCCATCTCTTCCAATGGGATTGATTATTATGTTTTAAAACTGGAGTACACTCTTTCCAATTTAGTTTGGAATGTTTTTGTTGTTGTACGAAAAAGTGAAATTGAATTCGCAACAAATATCAGCACAGGAGCAACTGTAGGTGTTGCTGTGGTTGTAACTATCCTTGGTATTATCGTAGCAATATGTATTGGTTATACTACCACAGCTCCGTTGCGACATTTGGAAAAACAGTTCAGCAAGATTAAGACAATGGACTTTGAAAATTTGGAATTTATTTCGAGTGTTTTCAAAGAAGTCGACAACATGTTTGTCTATCTTCACGATATGGTTGTTTGGCTTAATGAAATTAAGACATTCATTCCAGAGAGCGTATTTGTACAAATCAAAAACTACAACAAAGAATTTCACCCGAATCCAACCTCGACCAACGATATTATCCCAATAATCCCCGCCGAACAAAGTGACACTGGATCTGTCAACTATTCTCTTTCAAGCGCTTCTACATTATTAACTGGGACTAAGAACAAAGGTAACTCGCTATTTAAAATGGGACTGACGGCACGACAGAGTGCTGTCGTAAGAATTTGGCTGTCTAATTTAGTGGCCAAAAATTCATCTCATGAAATCGCCAGCATCTTTTCCAAAATTAGTTACGGCTTATGCACAATAGCAAAAATTTTTCAAGCAGATTTTCAGACCCTCTCAGTGGACGAATATCAGTTGAATCTTTCACCAGAATCAACTCCTAAAAAAAGCGTGAACTTGCAAGCACTCGAAGTAGCCCTTAAATTTGCCAAGATTATTTCCAATATTAACGACACTAGTGGCATTGCCAAAATTAAGTGCAGAATTGGTATTAGTTCTGGAAAGACCTATGCAGGAAATTTAGGATGCTCTTTGTTTAGATCATTCTTTGTGGTTGGAGGCTTAGCAGAAAATGCAAAGAAAATGACAAGATTAGCCGACGTTTTGGGTTGCAAAATACTGGTAGATAGCTCCACACTTGACGACGATACAAGCAAGCAATTTATTGTGAGACCTGTTGAAAGATTGTTGATTTACCCAGGAATATATAATGAATTGAATGCTGAACCTGTAATTTCAACTATTTTTGAAGTTGCAAATGAAAAAGTCATAGACGATTCTGATTGGATGAACGAACTACAGACTCAAGAACAGGATGAAAAAGCGGAGGAATTTGAATCAATGTTCATCTTAGGGAAAAAATTTGATTTTATGGCGGAGTATGCATTGTTTGATGTCATTAAGGCATCAATTTCTCAACTGGAGGATTATGTGATTCAACATGCGAATGATCGTATTGCTCCAAGATTACTGAAGGTGATGAGAATACTCTATCAATACGCTAAGGATGATCAAAACACGGTTTCTCTTCATCGCATGCTAGCCCGATATCATACACGATTGGATTATTCGTTAAGCGAAGTGTTCCCTTCGTTGTCTGATGTGGAGAATTTGAGCCCAAATTGGAGCACCGGGGAGGAAGAGATTCGTTATAATAATTGATAATTTATTAAGATGTCAAAATTCAGGTTAAAATAGAGGATATTCATCAGGATATTTGGATTTTTTCATACTTGATAGCAAAGTATGCCAATGAGAGAAGCCAAGCTCCTTAGTGACTGATATAAGGATGTCAAATAATTTGACTTCATTCTCAGAAGTTGCATCTCCTGTCAACGACTTAATCACTTTTTGTAATACCACAGAGTACTGTTTAAAATAGAAATCATACTGAACATCCAAGAGCAAGCATTTTTCCGTGGGGTCAATCCATTGCCTGAGTGATTTCATGGTATCTTTGATTTGCTTATCCCGCTCTGTAATCTCCAGTCCATTATTTTGGTCCAGTAAAATTTCTAATTTGAGTTGCAAACAAGATACCAAAGCATCTTTCTGTTTGTCCATTTCTTTCGATTTAAGTTGATATTCCTGAGCTTCTAATTCAGATTCCTCATTTTCATTCTTTGTTTTGTTTTTAGGAAGAGTACCATAATGGAGAGCGAGTGTTGTCATATCAATAGCTTGGAAGATAGAGTCCACAAGTTCACAAATATTCTGGTAATGAATGCTTTTGTTATCTTTCTGAGATTTGTACTGATCTTTCAATATATCAAGTTTCAATAGCAGTGCATTCAAATGTTTTGGATTTTCCGAAAGAATTTTGTCCACAAAAGGTAATGCCTCCGCTTTCAGCTTTTTCAAATACGACAATTTTTGTTCCATCACATAATCATTGTACTTGTCTTCGGGAGTTCTCTTGTCGGCCTTATTCTCCTTTTCAGAAGTTGTTGAAGATTTTTCAGAGCTTACAAATGATGGTGGCACGACAAAGGTGAGCGACAAATATGCCGTCTCAGCACTTTGATACTGTAATTTACCAGTGAGACGATCGCCAGCTTTCACCTCTTTCGGAAGATCTTTGGTATCCACACCAGTGTATCCCAACACAAAAGTATTGCTTCTTCCATGGATCATTTTGAATTTTTCATCTTGTTTGTTGGTATCTGAGAGAGGTCCATTCGCATTCTTGTAAAATTTCAATGAGAGAGGTTTAGCTAGTGCATGTGAAATGACAATGGGATGATTTTTAAATTTTTGTAACAAGGGTAACGAGTCATGGCGAAGCAAAACTCTAATCACATAGTCTCCTTTCTTTAGTTTGAACTTTTTCGGATGATAATCCACAACTTTGAGCAATCGCTTACTCTTGTTAAAGACCATGATCATTCTTGCTTCTAATTCTGATTCATAGAGACAGTTTGAAATTTGGGGTAAGCTTGGAGTGATTTCATGTTCAGATGACATTTTCAGATGATATTCGAGTATCATGTTGTAGCTGCATTTTCCACTGTCGAAATAGGTGTTTCTTTGATCATTTTGGATCTGAATCAACTTTTCGTCTTCACTATTCACAGGAGTCAAAACTTCTTTCCAATTATCAAGCTTGGCACTCAGTTGCATTTCCATATTACGTAATGAAGGGTTAATTTGAATCTTTTTTGTAAATTCAGCTCCATCGAAAAACACTTCATCGTTTGAGGCACTGATAGAATCAAAACCGAAAAATTCAACTTCGACTGTCAATATTGATTCTCCTGGAGAGCTCCAAAATTGACCCACTGTCAATTCCAAGGTTCTGTTGGGGAGTGTTTTGATAAAGTGTGAACTCACATCCGATTTTGAAAGGTTGATAAATTTTCTTGTGTCATGTAAAGAATAGGCCTCTTTTTCAAGAAGTTGAGTCGTATGCAGCACAAACATCTTTTGAATATCCATCTCTACGGCTCTAAGTGTAATTTTACAATATTGAACAGTACTTGATGGTGTGGTGATATAATTTCTGTACAATTCTCCGGGTTTCATTCTAATATCTGAAAAAGTTGTGCGATCTGTTTCATGTGAAAGCTTAGCAGGTTTGATCACAGTAATTGGTACAGAAAAAACAGGACCAAACGACAACCGATCACAGTCGTAGGCATCCAATCTTGCAGAATATATTTCTCCAGAGTCAAGTACTTCAGTATCTAGTTGAACATTGAATGTAAAACTTCCAGGTAAATGTAAAAATTCAGGAGCACGAATGAAGTTTGGAACTTTTTGAGAAATTGGCTGATCTGTAAAAACGGTATTTCCTGTTCTTTGATAAATCACTGGCACTAATTTCAAACGTTTTTCAAAATTCAACTTGTGAGAATTTTTTGTCTTTTTGGAATATTTCAAATCAATGTTGACTGTGTAGCTTTGTGTGGAGTGTGTTTCATATTGCTCTCGAAGGTAAATGCCTCTTGCATTGTTTCTTTGAGGAATTGTAATTTCATATCGATAATTGTCTGTCTCTGGATTGTAAGGATGTTTGTCTATCAATTCATACGAGTTAAGAATTTGTATCAAGCCATAACCAATGGAGCATGGATGTTGTGAATGTTCATTCTCACCTTTGTTTTCAATGTTAATTTTTGCAGTGTTAGCAATCACACGTTTGATGTAGTATGGATTCCATTCCTTGTTCTCTGCTTTAAGAGCACTGTACAATAATGCAAGCCCTAAAGAGTTGTGAGAATTTGAGTAGTTCAAATATGTAAGCATTTTGTATTAAACTTACCTCCTCTTTAAATGTGGATTTAGCAAAATAATAGTGATGTTATTAATACTTACGCAGCGTTGGGACTAGCCATGGACGTTCCGTTCATTCTACATGAAGAATACGTGTCATTACTATATCAAAATGAATATGTAAAACAAACCTTTGATTTTTAAGAAGAGTATAATTAGGTACAGAAGTAATAGCAGCGCCAAGAGCAGAAATCCAAGGACAAAAGGCACCATCTTCGGTTGGTCCTCTTGACGACCATGTAAATTGTGAATCTGGCACCAACTCTGACAAGCCATATTGAGATTTCATCATGGAACTTGTCACATATGCGCCAACTCCAATACATGCGTCCTGTAGTGATGCAGGAGCACCGGATGTTGTGAAATTAGGGCCGCTGTTGCCTATTTCATGAATGTAAATTGTGAAGTAACCAATTCTTCTTTTTTTCACTTACCCGCACTGGTCACAAATGTGACATTATGTTCATAGACCAACTCATTTACCTTTTCTTTGAAGAATCCAGAATTTGCAAGTGAAGTAGGTTCTCCGTAGCTCATGTTAATGATGGAGCACTTGTTCAAATAACAGGATATTAAAGCCCTGTTAAGTGCAAGAGTTGTCTCCATGGTGCCAAGTCTAGTATCACCTATTTTGCATGAAATAATTTGAGCTCCAGGAGCAACACCATTAAGTTCTTGTTGATCTGGAAAGTAAGCTGCAACAATTCCTGCGACATGAGTTCCATGAGAGCCAGAAGGAGCAACAATGGATAAAATATTACCATTATCATAAATATTAACAGAATAATTTAAAAGATCCAGTTCTGTAAATGTTCCATATTGGTGTTCCAATTTAAAATCACAAAGAAGTTTTTCCTTGCTTAAATCAATAACCAGATCCTCGTTGAGAGGTTCAAAGATGTTAACATTAGGATCATACGACTCTGAAACAACAACTGCTCTCCAAACAGAAGTCTTTTCATCCAAAAACACCACACAGTCCAAAACAGGACCAGTATCGTCGTACATCTTGGAAAAGAGTTCCTCTAGAGCAGTAATTTGTTTGTCAATTTCAGAAGCTTGTTTTTTAACTGATTCTTCATTTGATGAATTTCTTAAAGAATTTGTTTTTTCTTTCAATTCTACAATTTTCTCAGTTTGTTTCTTTTGAAATTGTTTCTTTCGTTCTTCCTTAACTCTGTCAACCAATGGTTGAGGATAAATATCAAAAACATTCTTGATACCAATACGATATTGATTTGAAGGATTCATCTCTTTCCATGCATGATCAATTTTTAATTTTCTTCCAGATTTTCCAGTAATGATTCCACTCTCATCTACTTTCACAATAGTTTTACAATCAACATCTCCACTACCCGTACAATCCACAGCATCCACAATTTTGTAGGATCCATCAGTTGTTTTTCCGTTCAATCCAGGAGCACCAACTGTTGTTGCAATTTCAATCCGCAATTAATTGTTCATAAGAGATCATCAAGACGATATTCATTTTGAATAACCATGAAAGAATTTGAAAGAATTAATGATCCATCCAAATAAATTCCTTCATCCACTTACCATCCACACCAGTATCAAATATTGCGATGATCACTCCACGTCCATCATAATTCGGAAATCTCTGAAGAAATGCATTGGCTTGAATTTCATCTTTGGGTTGTAAGCCTTCAACAGGGAAAGAAAAAGACATTTTTTTTAAAAAAATTGGAAAATTGAACTATTTTTACAAAACATGTTGCACTGCGGTCTTAACTTGGTGTTTTAGATTAAAACTGAATTATAAAAGTATTGAATTACCTCAATCACCGTATGAGTTCACGAGTTATAAAAGAACCTTCTCGATTTTTGAATATTATTTTCCTACATAGAGAGTCAAATCATTGGCGAAGAACAATCTTGGAGCACACGTGTGAGACCTTGTTGTTATTTGACATGATTGTGACGGGAATGCAACTCAAACACTTTCTCTCAGAGAGGCAATTGACCAAGTGGTCAACGTTAGACAAGGCGGAACATTGAAGATCATTGAGTGACAACTTTTCCCAAAAGCTGTTCGAAAGGTCAACAGTGATGAGTAAACGCCACCTGTCATTCACAACCCAATTGAAGCCTTTGAAGACAGTTCTCAAAAGTGTCACAACAATTTCGTTTTAAAACATCCATTCTCGCATAATCCCGTCCATCATTGAAAACTGATTTTCAAACTCGGGTACTGACGATCCACATAGAAATACTTCCATTAAAAAAGCAACATTCATCAACACTTTCTGTCAGCTCTCAAAAAAAAGCAAAACCGTTTGGGTCCATTCAGAAGAACAACAACGATTCGAGAGAGTAGCATCCTCCTCCTCCTCCTTCTCTCCATCATTGGTGTTGTTACTATTGTTGTGCGTGCAAAAGCTCTCCGCAGCAAGTTGTCTTTGAAAGTCTTTCCCTTTCAAACCTTTTTTTAAAAAACAAGCGGAGAGAGAATTTACAAAACTCAAATTGTTTGTCTCATTACACGCTGAAGAAGAAGAAGAAGAAGACAATTGTCTGTTCAGTTTTGAAAAGATTTTATACCGTTGTTGAAAAGACTTTGAGTGACTTGAGAGTGAATACACGCTTTGAAGAGTGGTGGTGTTTCATCATCATCACCATCGACTTTGTGTATTATTATTATTATTATTATTCTTCTTATTGCTATCTATATTGTGCATCATCATCATCACCACTCTAGGAACTTGTTCATCATCATCATCATTACAACAACAACAACTATTACTATTACTACGACTACTTGATCCTTTTAACCGAAACTTTAAAACCACAATCACCCTCTCGTGCATCATCATAACCATCAACAATAACCATGGTTAACTTTACAAACTTTGTCAAATCCAAACGTAAGAGGAAAAAGGAGATTACTTTTCAAGATATTCAGGAAAACTTTGATCTTCCAATCAAGGAGGCTGCTGATGCCATGCAAATTTCGCTCACACAATTAAAGAGAATTTGTAGAGAGAATGATATTCCGAGATGGCCCTATCGAAAGGTAAGTGGAATCGCTGAAGATTGTTGCTCGGTTGACCAAAATGGTTATTCCATGTGAATGGATGGACACATTTGATGATGAACTTGACCTTGTGTAAAACACAACAACAAACAATGAAACGAACAAACAAATTAGCTTCAAGCATTGCAAAACAAACGTCAAGATCTCACGGACATGTTACCGAACAGTGACGAATTATCTAGAGAGAGAATTCAAAGTAAAATTGACGCAATCAATGAGGAAATTAAATTCATTCGAGCACATCCAAAAACAATTATTGGAGGAAGTGGATCGAAACGAAGCTCCATAACGAAATCCAAAAGATGGTCTCTTCCTTCCATTGTATCAGGAGATGCAATGAGCTCTGGTGGAGCCACAAGCTCAAACTCAAATTTGATTTTGGAACAAACAGTTCTTGGTGGAGGAAACTCCAATTCAAATCGAAGGTCACAAAACGAAGAGGAATTTTTCAAGGATTTACAACAACGATTGAATAAGCAATATGGAGGAATGCCCGCAAATTTAATGGGACACGAATTGGATGAAGATGATGTGGTCGATGAGGATGAAATTATTGGAGACGATGCTTTAGATGACGAGGAGGATGAAAACACTGACAATTTGATGAGAAGTAGAAACCAACAACAGAAAAAAGATGCGAATAGAAACAAGAGATTTTCAATGCCCTCCATGATGCTTCAAGGTGGTTCTTCGTCATCATGCACTAATAATGTTATTGGGCAGCATTCGAGTGGTGGTGTTTCCACATTCATCCCAAAACAATCGACCTCTGTGAATAACGGCATTGCAGTCAATAACTATACAACGAATGCCACCAACTATACTTACTCGGCTCCAAGTCAGCATGTGGTTCATCCTCCACCACCAATTTCTTCGAATGCTTCTGCGTATTATCGAATGCCTCCTTCAAATGCTTCACCTTCATCCTCTTCTCAATTCAATAATGCACAACATAGCCAGCAATACTATCCTCCACAACCACTCACAACCACGCATGTAGACCCGTATACACAGCATCCATATTCACATCATCACCATCATCATGCATCAGGTTATAATTATGGACATTCTCAACAATCGCCAAGTCACATGTCGACAACAAGCTCATCGTCACATCAATTACCTACTTTTTCGCAAACTCATTCATCACATCCTTACAACTCTTCGTATAATAATAGTGCGTCAGGACAGACTTATTCCGGATTGGGTTCAACGGCTCATTCTGTAGCACAATCTTCTCCATCACATCATCATCAGCAACAGTATCATACATTTAGTGGCAATCATTCTCAAAATTCCTCATTTAACATGACAACACCAAATACAATTGTGACAACCAGCAGTGCTCCTTCCGATAACGGTACAGCAACTTCAAGCAATCTGCATTCTCAAATTCATCATCACCCTTTGAATGCAACACCTTCAACAATGCATACGACTACTTCTAATGCAATTCCAACGAGTAGTAGTGGAATTAGTGGTGGATTTAATGATAAATCAACAACAACCACAGCATTTCAATCATCCTACTCTCATGTACATAATCAACAATCTAGTGGTAGTAGTGGCCGGTCGACTAACAACAGACCTAGCTCCTTAAATATTAATACATCATCATCATCGTCTGACCCATTTGGATTCAATAGATATGTTAGAGATGGAGATTATCTTCCACCTTTGTCACAATTACTTCATGGACAGGATGCCGAACGAATGCAAGATTCGCCAGTCACTCTCAACGAACCATCTCCATTCGGTAATAATGCTAACAAACCCAACATATTACCACCAGTACATATTCCATTTGAACAACAACAACAACAAGAGCCATCTCAAGATTGTGATCCTCAAAGAAGTGACGCATCCAAAATTTCACAAGCATTGAACATTCTCAAAAAGAAGAATACAGGAAGCGCCATTAGTTCATATCCATCTTTAGCACAATCCAACAGCACAGGTCATTTGGAACAAACGTGTTCTACTTCAAACAACCGTAATGGTGGTGGCGGTGGCGGTGGCGGTGGCGGTGGTATTCAGTATTCATCGACATCCATTGGTGGAGGCACAGCAGCAACTTCAACACGAGAAAATCTCACCTATCTCAGAAAAGGAGTTCAATCGACTGAATACGAATATCCTCCTTTTCAATACTACAGTCAACAATATGAATCATCGATGCCATCTTTCATTCAAATTCCATCACATCGTGCATCACCGAACACACAACCTCAGCAACAGTCATCCAATCATGCTCCTCCTCCAACATTGTCCAAATCTCGATCTGCAAGTGCACTTGTTCAATCTTCTGCAACGACAACGTCGAGCACTCCACCTTCTCAAGCATCTGAATCACAAGGTTCTTCAAACTCCAAACTCTCGTTTTTAGAGAACTTGTTTCGAAGGAAAATACCATTCATAACCAGAAAGAAAAAGTAATCGAATTGAATAATCTCACTCACTGGAAAAAGTTGATCGGCCAAAATTTAAAACTTTGTGTAAAACTTTAAGAGTGAAGTTCAACCTTGTTGTTTTTCCTTGTTGTCATTCGAATGACAACAAGTTGATTGCTTCAACCATGATGCGGTGCGATGATTGACTTTGCTTCACCTCGAGGTATTTGTTCATCCCAAATTCATCTTCAAAAATGTTGAAGAATAAAATTTAATTTGAAGAAAAAAAATTCTCTCTAACATCAATAACAATAACAACAATCACCGTCTTCTCTTCCTCGTCTCGTCTGACTCTCTCCGATTTTTGAAATTTATCATCATCATCCCATTAACATCATCAATCCCAACAATATATATTAGAAAATGGTGAAAAAGACAAAGAAGAACGCAGAACGTCTTGATAAATATTATCATATGGCCAAAGAGCAAGGCTATCGTTCACGTGCTGCCTTCAAATTGGTTCAACTCAACAAAAAGTATGATTTCCTCGGTACAGCACGAGTCTTGTTGGATCTTTGTGCAGCACCTGGTGGTTGGCTTCAAGTCTCTAAAAAGTTCATGCCCGTAAATTCTACCATTGTAGGTGTAGATCTTTGTCCAATCAAAGCTATTCCGCACGTTACAACTATTGAAGGTGATATCACTACTAAAAAGACCATGACTATGGTTAAGAATGTACTCAGAGGACAAAAGTGTGATGTCGTGCTTCATGATGGTGCACCCAATGTTGGTGCCAACTGGCTCAAGGATGCCTTCTCACAATCTGAATTGTGTTTGTTTGCTTTAAAGATGGCAACAGAGTTCTTGAAGCCTGAAGGCTTATTTATCACCAAAGTCTTTCGTTCTAAAGATTATACATCTCTCATGTGGGTTTTGAATCAATTCTTTACCAAAGTTGAGGCAACTAAACCAAAAGCATCAAGAGATGCATCCGCAGAAATCTATGTTTGTTGTTTTGGATATAAAGCACCAAAAGAAATTGATCCTAAACTCTTTGATGCTTCGTTAGTGTTTGAGGATGTCGAAACACAAAAGAAGAAATTGAAATTATCGTTTAGGGATTTAGCAAAACAAAAGCCAAACCAAGAAGGATATGAAGAAGGAGCTACATTGCTCTATAAGAAATGCAGTGTTGCAGAGTTTATTGAGACTGATCAACCCATCAAGATTTTGGTCGATTATAACGAACTTGAATTTGACGAATCGTCTCAAATTTACTTAAATCATCCACTTACAAACAAAGATATCATTGAAGCATGTGAAGACTTACGTGTATTGGGTAAACCAGATTTCAGAATGCTGCTCAAATGGAGAAATAACATGAAAGATTTTAAAGATGAATTGGACGCAGAAAATACCGAAGATATCATTGAACAGGACGAAGAAGATGAAGTTTTGGAACCTGTTCATGAAGAAAATAATTTAGCATCAGCAAGTGACGAAATGGAACTCCCATCTGATGAGGAAGAATTAGAGGGAGAATTAAACGAGCTCAAAGATAAACACCGAAAGATGGAAAAGAAAAAGGAAAAGAAATTGAGAGAAAAGCAAAAGAAACTTGCTATCAAAGCTGCAACTGAAAGACCAGAAGATATGCTCGATATTTATGAAGATACAGCATTATTCCGTATGAAAGACATTTCAAGTAAGGACATGTTAAACGCCGTATTGGATCCATCTGTCACAAGTCAAGCCTATGAGACCTACTTGAAACAAAAAGAGCTCAAGAAGGAGCAAGAACGAAAAGAAAAAGAAGCACTTGGAAAGATTGAATTGGACGAAGACGAGAGAGACGAAATTTTGGAAGCTGAACTAGACGCTCTCTATCAACAACTTATGGAAAAGAAGACAAGAAGATTCAAGGCAAGCATTCTTCAGTCACGAGATGCGCATGCACAACAAAAGAATGAACTCTATGAAGCTATTAATTATGAAGAAGAAAAATATGGAGCACCCAATACAAATCCGCTCCTCATTGAACACCGAGATTTAGGATCGAAACAATCTAAGGCAAACCAATTCTTCAATCAAAATATTTTCAGTGTGCTAATGGAAGAAGCAACAGGAAATAGTGACAACGAAGATGACAATGCCACACGAACTAAGAGACGTAAACTCGGACGAATTGACAATATTACAGAGGAGGATTTGGAAGTGGACTCTTCTGATTCCGAGTCTGATAATGATGATGACGATGACGAAGAAGATGAATCAGCCATTGCTGACTACAAGAGAAAGGTCGGAGAACAACAACCTAAACAAGATGTTGGTGGCTTTGAAGTCATGCCAAAAGAAATGAAGGATCCTGAAGTGAGAGCCACTGCATTGGCTCTTGGTAAAAAACTCCTCCGAAAGAAGGAACGTAGAGAATTTATTGACAATGCATTCCACAGATATGCTTTCAATGATGAAGATGTTCCAGATTGGTTGGTTGATGATGAAGTCAAAGCATTCAGAAAACAAGATCCAATCACCAAAGAAGAGGCCGATGAAATTAAACGAAAGATGGCTGAAATTGATGCAAGACCAATCAAGGCAGTTCTTGAAGCCAAGATTAGAAGAAAATTCAGAGCTCAAAAGAAGATTAAGGAAGTCAAAGACAAGGCTGAAGTCATTGCACAGAGCCAAGAATTGACACCACAAGAAAAGTCGAAAGAACTTATGAAATTGTACAAGAATGCTTCCGTCAAGACAAGTAGAAGGAAAGTTTATGTGGTTGGAGGTGGAAAGAAAGTGGTGGGTAAGAAAACACCTGGTTCCGTCATGAAGTTTGTCGATAATCGTACCAAGAAGGACAAACGAGCTCAAGAATCAAAGAAGAGAAAGAGATAAATTTGTCAACAACCACAAGATCAGTTTATTAATTTATATTTTTCAGTGGTGGTGTTCTGAGTTCTTCTCTTACTATTAAAAAATGATTCAATCCAATTCAAGAGATGGTGAACCATCAACAATAACACCAACAACTAATACCATCAGCAGCAATAATAACAACAACAACTTGTCTATGGAATGGCTCATTCGGAAAGAACAAGAGTTGAAACAAAAGGAAAAAGAATTACAAGAACGAGAAGCAGCTGCTGAGAAGTTTGAAAAAGAACTTGAAAAGAAGAACGATCAATTACTTCTTCAAATGAAAGATCAAACCAAACGAAAGTTGGATTTGGATGAACGAGAACTACGAATTTTAGAGATTGAAGAAAAACTTGCAAAATCAACCACCATTGCCTCCCGATTCAAACAGAATGAGATGGTAAAATTAAATGTTGGTGGTACTATTTTTGCAACCACATTGAATTCGTTATTGAGTGAGAAGGATACGTTCTTTACAGCCTATTTTAGTGATTATTTTACTCCCAAGGCGGAAGAACATGATCATGCATACTTTATTGATAGACCAAATGCCAACTTTGAATTGATTTTAGATCACTTTAGAGGTTCAAATATTCGAAAAAAGCTTGAAATGTTAAACGAGAGGGAATTATTGGAATTTGTTGACGAAGTTGTGTATTATCAAGTGACAAGTATTTTTGCATTGTTGCCGTCGAAGGGGAAAAGCATTCTTCGCAACAAATACACATTTGAATTTGAGGAAGAAAATCGAGGTGTGA